CGATATTTTTTGTATGTTAGTGGTTTGAGTAAAGTGGCAAATCATCGTCAAGGGATTCAAGAACTTCACCATGATTTTTGTCTCGAGTTCTTATAAGGCACGGTCTTCGGAACCTACTTTGTCTAGCTTATTTCGCCACTTTTATTTCAAAGTGTTATGTAGGAGGGGGTTAATATTTAAAATTTCACACATTCAAAGCGTTGATAAAATTTAATGGCGATTTTATCGTGATACATATTTCTAATTTAATTAGACATGACAATTGAATATTGTATTTTAGAACCATGACATCATCTTCCCTAAGAATTGCTTTGGATAGACCGACATTGAATTTGGACAAAAGAACTTGCTAGGTAAGTGCTTTTATTTGTAAACAACTTCGGTCTTTTCAATGATTTTGATGATGTTTAAGACTTAATTTAAGTTTAATTTTTAATAAATACACACATAAGTTGAATGTTTTCAGCATGTCATTCTCTCATAACAGATTTTTAATTTTTACATCTAATTAATTTTTATTTTTTTTTTGAGATTTAATTTGATAAGAAATCAATACATTTACTAATCTTAATCGAGCTCTATTGATTTATCATACGTTCAGCTAGCACTAAAAAGGCTATTCCTAGTAGAGGTGGTAGAATTATTCAAGTATTTCAGCTAGTGAGGGGAAAACGAAAGTGAACTATGTTGGGAAAATATTTAATTTGTTACGTTGGCTGACATATAATTAATTGTATATGGAAGTTATCTTAAAGTTAAGTCCAGAATTAAAATGATCTATTAAAGAATTAAGTAATTGAATTTTAGGCATCTAAATAAAGTGTTGGTTGAATTATATGTGTATAGATCAGATCCATTAGAATTGTATTTGATGATATGTCAAAATACATATGAAAACTATATAGAGAAAATTACACCAAACCCTGTTTTTTAAGTTTCGTTTTCAAAAATAAGATTTAAAAGTTATTTGTAAAAGAAAATCAGGTCATAATAAGTTTTAAATTTTAAATAATAATATTATATAATTAAATTAATCTACCCAATTACACCACCCCTATCAACCTACCCCATCACATTTCACTTTTCAAAACCTAATCATTTCTCTTTCCATACCCTTTTTCTTCTCTTCCTTTATCTTACACCACTACGACATTCCCACGGTGGCTCTCACCATGACCATCCGATGCGAACACCACCACAACCCTACGGCAACACTCATGACGCTGTTGTGACGACGGTACAAACGTCACAGTGCAGCAGCACTATACACCTCCATCACCACTACACAGCAGCACAGCGTTGTGATCAGGGACGGATCCAAGATTTTTTGTAGAGGGGGCTGGACTGAGCAAAGCCAATGTAAG